CTTAGTTGAGATCGGATACGACGCGCGCCTCATATTTCGATGTGCACGTAATTTTTTGAAAGCCAAGTTTTTCCCGCTGGCGCGAAGAATAAAAATTCCACCAATAAGAGAAGAGTATTTCGAATCTTGAGTATTATTGGATGAAATTTATTCTGATACTCAAAAATCTTCGGTGGGCGTTGCATTCCGTCCGTCCCAGTACTACTGTAGTCACGGATGACTTGCACTCCGAACGAAAGAAGAAGCGAAGAGCGGTGCTGGTGCTGTGTCCGTGTCGCTGCCATGATGGGCCTCAAGCCCTTGCCTAATGGTCAAGTCAAAGCCAACCGCAAGAACGCTGTGCACGTTGTAGTGTAATTCATCGCATTACATGAAATACCTTTGCATGTGATGTTGGACCTCCAATTTTTCGTGCACACCGGGTTGTGGATTCCTAAAATGTCGGACTCGCGTCAATTTCAAATATGGTCACTGACAGCTGTATAATTGCATTACCTGTCTGGATTTAATATTTAACTGCTGAAATTACATAACCTAACCACACAAAAAATATGCAAATGGGTATACAAACGTTAAGCTAATTGTGTGCACCAATAACTGGTTCTCACATTTTGAGTACATTTGCTTCGAAAATGGTATTTATGTCTGTCAAATAGACCGTGAAACACAATTTTTTGAATGTAAAATGAATCAACTCCGCTTTGGCCTCATCCAGCACTTTTCGGAATGTGAATCTGATGCATCCATGCTGAGCTTCGTTCCTTCCACCGCAGCGTCTCGGAAAAAGTTTTCTTAAATTGGTTTTCTACGTTAGCACTGTCTGTACGTTCATTCCTATCCATAGTTTCGCTTTAACAAGGCCATTTCACGCTGCAACGTCTCGGCGACGTTCACAGCCAGGGGGCGGCGGAGGACGTCCCGCGACAGACACGCGGCGACGAGGGCTTTGAAGTACCGGGGACTGGACTCGAGCTCTGGGTGGTTTTCGTGCGGCCACGTCATCGTCGTGGGGTCTCGGATGCGAATGTCACTGACCGTGGTGCCAACACTCTGAATCCACGACTGGTATGGCCTTGCCCTCGTCACAATCTCCCCGAGGATCACCCCCAGCGAGTACATTTCCGCCGACGAACTTCGCGCGCAGTTGTGTGTGAGCACTTCCGGTGCTTCCCACGCCAGCGACGCGCCGCCGTACGAAAACTCGGGAGAGGTGATGGCTGGCGTCGCCTGGACAAAGTCCAATACATCCAGTTTGCACTGCAACGTCGAGTTGACAAGGATGTCACGGCTGGTGAGGCAGTTGGTGCCCCGTGAGTAGTTGGGCTGGCTGTGCATATAAGCGAGGGCGGCCGCCACTTGGTAGCACATGCTGAGCTGGTCGGGCCACGAGAGTGCCACGTCATGTTTGAACAGCACGCGGGGAAGCGACCCGCAGTGCATGAACTCTGCCACCGCACTCACGTCAAACTCGCCAAACCGGACAAGGCCAAACACGATCAACAGCTGCGGGTGCTCCAGCTGGGCCATCGCCTGGATGTCCGCAACCAGACTCGCCACCGCCGCCTGGTTGGGAGCATCCCATCGTTTGAGCACGACTTTCTCGCCTTGGAATTTGCCACTGAAGCGGGTCCTGGAGATCGAGTGCAGCAGTTTCACGTGGTCGGGGGAGATTGTAGGCACGGACGGCATGTCGCGGCTCGGTTGTTTGGACAACGGCAAGAGCGTCGAGCTGGTGAGGACCGCCGAGCTCGACGTCTTTCGAAGGAGTTGCGCCTTGGACGGTGCTGCTGCCCCGTTGTTAAACGGAGCATTCCGCGACGACATGGCGACCATTTCAAAGCCACTGAGGACGTTCGGGTTGGCGACGATGCGCTGCCGTCGGCGGTATAGGATCAAGGCAACAGCAGCCAGGCCCAGCACCAACACCATCATACACACTAACAGGATCGTGCCGGTCATCGACGAGTCGTCGGCAGATGCGACGGCCGTTTTTTGGTCTGTGATAGCACTGTTGTTGGTGATTGGGCTCGCGGTTATTTGTAGTGTTGCGAACGAGGCTGGCGGTGGTTGAGTGGATATTGTACCGGTAGTGGAAGGTGTCGGTTTAGACAACAACAGGTTTGTCGCGGTGGGGGTGACAGTAGCGGGCGGGGTTGGGGTAGAGATCCTGGCCGACGCAGGGGGTGGTGATGGTGACGATGTGGCAGGGCGAGTTACAACTGCGACGGGGGCTCCAGTGGACGTTGAAGGGGCTGGTGTGGATGTCAGGGACGGGAATGTGCATGTAGGAGCGGACGACGAGCACGAGCAATCCAGGGGCAGGCCAGTGATGTGGCCGCTGTCTACTGCCACCTGCATTCGGTTGCACTCACTCGCGTCGACTGAAACAGACGGGTGCCATGGATTGCCGTAAATGTTGAGTTGTCTATGCCATTGATTAGCCATTCCAAGTATACGACGACGTCCGACGTACGCGATGGTTGGTTGGGTAGGGCTAAACAAATACGTAGGGAACGCTTTGAGTCGGTTGTTGCTGACGTCGATCACGTTGAGTGTCGGGGATGGCGGCGTGGTGATGGTCTCCAAGTCGGCATCGACGATACTCCTACAAAAATGGAGTAAGACTCGACATATGCTCATTCGAGGCAACAACAAGACCAAGCGAAGAGGTCGTACAGCTTGGATATCGTGCGGTAGTCAAAGCTGGACGCGTCAATCGAATGCACAGACACTCGGGCAATGTCTCTACAACACGGCAAACAATAAGTGTAGCCGAACACGACGAAAATCGTTGCAACATACACTTGATCGACGGACGCGAATTGAGCCCAGTCGCGCACAGTGTACTTGGGCTTGGGGGAGTGCGACACAGGGAAGACCGAAATTCGCCGCGCAGTCCACTCGGTTGGTCGAAAGTACACGCATTCTCGGGCTTTGCCGTTGTGAGCAAATGCGGAATCACAGCATGCACTAAAGTCAGCTTGGGTGAACCCCATGGCGTCGAAGCGTCCGCATCGTTGCAGCAAGATGGAGATGTCTGGCGAGGCGCATGCCGATGGAGTGCTCTGGCATGCGAAGAAGAGGCCGCTGAAGTCATCTGGGCCATCCGGTGCTTTTGTATCGTTCATTGATGTTGCGCACAAAGCAGAAAGTGATCTGGACGGAACGTGCGTTCTAAAATTTGTATAAAACCAAAAGACAAAAATAATGTTTAGTACGGATACAAAGGATAAGTAATTCAAGTGTTTAATACAAATTGTGTTTCAAACACATGTCCAGCGTACTGTATTGGGATTGTCAGGCAGCATTTGTGCCTAGGGGTGGCACCCATCCGTACGTCATTCCGTTCAATCGTAGTACAGCTGTACTACACGGTATGTACTCCAAAACTGAAGACTGCCGCACCAATATGTATGTACTAAGCGTATGCGGTTCGTGGTGGCTGGCTGGAAGCACAAGGAAGTCATTTCAACGACCGCCCCATCGTAGGTGCATAGCGCAGCAATTTGCAATGCATGTTGCTGCATTAGTCATGTCGTCGTGGCTACTACCGGTACTGTACGTACAGTATCAATGAGCACACTGGACGTCGTGGACACCTATATCAGTTATTTTACACCTCTGAGGTACAGCGTAGGTACAAACATTCATGCAATTTGTTCTTACAGCATCGTGCAAAATCCACACTTTTTAACCTGTAACCCTGTAACCACGAATCCCCGTCCCTATCTCAAATGACCACAATGAAGCCTATACCCAGGGCTACGTTGAATCGCCAGTGGTTAGCTATCGCTAACCACTGTCAATCAACTTACAGTTAACCCTTAGCAAGACTTCGTGATGCTTGTAGCCAATGAATGGCGCTGGCTCGTGAATGTTTGTACCTACACTGTAGTTCTGTGGTGTAAAATAACTAACACTCGTGGACACCCATTGCGAAAGTTCTGGCGAAATGAACAACCGACGAGAAACTATCGCGGAACGAGTTGAGGCGGCCGTTCCCAGACGGCACTTTGACGTTGCATTCCAACTGACTAATGCCCCACGACTAGGGTCCTTCCTTAAACATGGGGCACTGCTACATAAACGAGTCTGGTTTGGTCCTGACACGTTGCATCTTATCTTGTCAAATTGGTGATGCCAAGTGGTATCGACGAATTTATCAATTTAACGTTAACGTTATATCCAAAATATGCGTCAAACCTCAATCATTAGATTGAAAAATTATGGCAATATTTTGGGGAAATTCCGACAATAATATAATAATACTGAAGTATTGTCGATTTTCTTCAAATTTCCCAATTTTGCATGGTTCGTCCGAGACATCTGATTGGCCATTTTCCAATACTACCCCATTGTATTCTTGGACCATCATGTCGACGCGTTCCTACGACGACATGGTGTGCGTGCGACCCGTTCATGTACGTTAGGCGGGACACAATCAGTGTCTATGTACTATCTGCATCTCACTGTAATCAGTAGAGGGCAACGGAACTGTACTGTACCGATTGCCAGGCCACGGTCCGCGTACTTTCCGATGGTAACGCGTGATTCTTCCTAGATCTGGTGATGGACCGTCGTTCTGTCTAGACGACAGACGCTGCTCGGTATGCGGTGCCGACTTGCAGACATGTCCGTCAGCTCAATCTGATACAGTTCGCGATGACGCAGACAACGACATTACCTCGCTCATGCACCGCCTTCTTGGGGCCTGGGGTATCGATCCCACCAGTTCGCCGACGCAACCTGCATCCGACGACGCAGGTACACATCATCCGACCTGTCCACGCAATCTGTGTTGTTCAAGTCTATGATGCTAGTGGCCAAATTGAATACCTTTGTGGCGGGCCAATCTACCACCGTGGAAGTCGCGATGGTGTCCAAGCGTATCAAAGGCGAAGTTCGTCGACACGCTACTGCCATGTCAGCATGTAAGTACGTCATGTGTCTGTGCCCATCCGTAGGTCATCCTCGTACCTGCCAACTTTGGTCCGTGCGAGTCCATCGACGCGTCCGAGGTCGTTGTCGCCAGTCCCTTCCATGGAGGTGCTCCCTTCACCAATCCGTCCTCGCTTCGAAACAAGGTCCGAGAAATTCCATATGTAAATGACCCACACCACGATGGAGGAGTAGATTGTACTGCTTGAGCGAGGGGTGTGCACATTTGCCAGCAAAATCCAGCGCGCCCAAGCCGCCGGCGCGGTCGCGGTGGTCGTGGTGCAGACTGCCGACGTGTGGCCGTACGCCATGACGGACTCGTCGGGCGAAGGCACGTCGTTGTCTATTCCAGCGTTTATGATCTCTAAAAAGCAAGGCCACGGGTACATATGAACACTCTTTCTCGAATGTTTGTTGAAGGTGTATATAGATTGGTGGAGTATCTCAAGGCCAACCCAGACCACTCCCCCCATCTCATGTCCATCCACGTCCGAAAGAATGCTCGAGAATGTGTCATTTGCCAAGTGGATATTGACATTGGCGTCCACGTCGTCCAGATGCCGTGCCAGGTAGTACTACTAGTAGTACATACTAGTGATAGCCTGCCGTGGTGTATGTAGCATATATTTCATCCCGACTGCCTCAAGCAATGGCTGGATATTCGCAACAGCTGCCCCATCTGCCGCACTGAGATCCAGGCTAAGAACCCCGCTACTACTACTAGTAGTAGCACCGCTCAAAGCCGCGGCGACTTTCTATGGAGCGACTGGATGTCGTAATAACCATAAAAATTCCCAAGTTGACCATGGTGCTTTCATTGACGCAATTATTACACCAACTTTTTCTTTTGAAAGTACGATTGCAAATGGCGCACTTGCCATACCCCCGCGACCAGCAACACGAGAATCTGTCAAGCATATCACCGATTACGCCGCCAAATAATATCAAAATTTGACACAAATTTCATCAAAAATTGCCATCTCAATGACATTTCATCAAAACCGAGCAAAACGTCAATCAAACTTATCGAATAGTATGCAAAAAAAAATATTTTTAAAGTGACAATTGAATGAAGTATCATTAAAAAAGAAAATTAAAGTCACCTGAATCACAGACACCCACATGGCCCGCGCATTGTTGCTCTCGCTCGTGGCGCGGAACTTGTCGCCTTTTTCCTGTGGCCGTGTATGTGACTCGAGTGCATAATAGAAGAGGCGATTGATTACAGTACCTGGGCATAATCCTGTTGGTTCTGGATCGCCTTGACCCGGTCGCGCAACTTCATGACTTCCAACTCGAGCTCGTTCATTTGCTCCTTCTTGGCCAAGTTCTCGTACTCGGCATGGCTCGTTCCGAACCGCAGCTTGAGCTTGAATTTCTAAGCATGGAAGAACGCATGACGACATGTGAATCGTTGGAATCGACGACGGACCATCTTGGTGGCGTCGGGGACCACGTATTTGTGCGTGTCGATGCTCACGCACGACCAATGCTCGCCAGAACTCGTGGACGTGAACGCGACCGTTCCCTTTTGGTTTAACGTCTGAGAGATAGACGCCGGCACGTTTTCGTGAACGTCGCCACTGGTCGACGGGCCGTAGATCTTCAGCACGGTTTTCTGGAACGAGCAAACACAACGGCATGAGTTCAACCAATGTCCAGGCACACAACTCGGCTCGGGGATAGCTTGCACGTAGGTACATACCAATTCGTCGGTCGTGTCGGGGGATTCGTACTCCGCACGAAACGTTGTACCTTCTGGCACGTCCAAGTAAAAGCACTTGTGGTCCTACACACGGCGACATCACATGATCCTCCTCCAGTCTGACGCATGCTCTGGGTGCTTATGGCTCGTACATTTGGAGTGACGACGAAATGGGCTGCTTGCACGGCATATGCGACCAGTGCCACGACGACGGCCGCCTTGAGAGCCATGCTTGCAAATGTCTGCGGCAGTCGGGCGATGCCTCATTCCACCAATCCAGAGCCGGAAGAATGCTACTTTTGACCAATCAAAACAATTTATCACGTATTGGAATTCCACTGCTTTGTTATTTCGAAAATCGAAAATAAATATTATCGATTTTCTTTAACCCTACTATAATATTATGCATATGTACTTCAACACAATCCGGGTAGTGATATCTGATTGGGGCAAGTATATTATGGAGTGACCAATGGGAGGGATTGGTGCCGGGTTTGGTCGGTGAGAAATAGTCCGGATATTCATACCGACTCTCCAATACGTATTACACCTAAACGTTATAGCATCAACAACCCATTTGCATCGCCCATACTTATGCCTAGCTTGAGCAGTTCGTGCTGCGCTTTGACCTTGGCAACGCGCAACGACAGCTCGGCTTCTTGGGCCTTTGCTTGGGTGTGTCTGTCGGTCGCCCCGTCCGAGTCGTCCTGGGGCCGCAGCGGGGGTTTGTGGTGTTCGATGAACTGCTCCACCAGCAATCGCAGCTTCTTTCCAGCGTGGTTCATATTGCGCACGGGAATTTTGAGAAAGTTTTGCAAGTCCACGAGACTGCCGTGGGGTAACTCGGGGCTGTCTATGGCCGCCAAGACGCGCCCGTAGGTTTTCATGTTTTGAAAGATTCGCTTTTTGAGGTTGGCATCGACAAACAAGCCAAAGCACGGGTCGCAGCAGTCTGGCTGGTTCTTTCGACGGGACACGAGGCGCCTTGTACACGACGTGCTGAACAACTGAAAGCCTAGCGCGTCCGCACCACGAACCACCTGCGCCCCGCTCGGAATTTGACCAAATCGGGCAAAGATTTGAAGGATTTCGAAGTTTTCGGCAGGCAACGCGCCCGGGCAAGTCGCCACGACATGGTGTTGCGTCGGGAGCTGCGAGGATTGCAGTTCAAAGTCCACGTCGAGTTGGGTCAGTTTCTTTCGCTTCTTGGACGGCGGGGCGAACGATGGCGACAGCGCGACGTCGACACTTACGGGAACTATAAGCTGCTGGTCGATGTGGCTCACGACTGGCCTGTGCTTTTTACTCCGTCGAACATGTCGGTTCCATCGTTCATTGCTGAAAAGATTGCGAGCGTCACAACGAAGCTGGCAGTCGCATACGTTGCAATGTACCCATTGTCCATGCTCGACGTCAAGGGCGGCAATCCGGCCGTCCACGACACGCTTCGCCATGTAGTCATAAATGGTCGCAGGCCATCTCTTCACAGTAGGTTCATTCCGCGGTGTCGGAAACTCGTTGGCATCGGCAGTTGATCTATCGCCTTCCATGCACGTTCGACTTGTTGCTTGCTCCGAACATATTGTACGGATAATCATTTTATTGCATTCACAGTGTCAAATCAAGTACTTCGTACTATTTTAATAGTACTTCAATAGTACTTCGTACTACCAGGTATTAAAATACCTGGTAGTACGAAGTACTATTAATACATGATTAATATCACTCTACTCGAAGTAGAGTGATATTAATCACAGTATTATGAAATAATCGTACTTCGTAGTACTATAGTACTATCAAATTAGTATGTTCACTATGTACTTATATTATAAATAATGACGTATCATCCGGATAACACGTTTGAAAATCAAAAAGTCGCACTTACGAAGGGCCAATTATCGTTGGCACACTTTCTCCCCGCCAACTGCAGGAATGAGCGAGGTGTCGACGGAGGCCGTAATGACTGGAGCGGCCATCGACAGCTACACTGAGGAAGAGTCGAAGGACAAGCTGTCCTCTATGCCATCCAGAACTGCGGTGCAAAGCAAGGAGCCCAACGAGGCGGATCAGGACGACATTGGCGAGATCGCGATCACAGAAGACATGACTGGCCCGCCGTTGGACATTGAAACCATCGAAGCGGGATTTCATTTCCAGGACATTGACTACTTCATGTACAAGGTCCAGCGATATGCGCAAGAGAAGGGGTTTATCGCGTCCAAAGACGGCAAGTTCTTTTCGTGGCGGAATCCGCACCCCGTCCACCCTGAAAATTACAAGTTGCTGCAGCGCACGACCATCTACTGCAGCAACAAGGACCCGAATGTTGGCACGAAGCCGCCTCCTAGGTTTGCGAGGGCGTGTCCGTGGAAGATCCGCATCTTGTACGACCGCGGCACCCTCGACTACATGGTCACGGACATCTCACTCGAACACAACCACGACATTGGCGACCCGCGAGGAGCCCCCACGTACCCAAATCACTCCCCGAATGACAATGACCCTGTGATTGACTTGTCCGCATCCCCATCTGGCGAAAAACCTCCTGCGTCGGCCCCATATTCGCTTCCTCAACCCCCGGGCACGGTGCTCATGGGAAGGTTCCGACTCGACGCGACGGGGTCCGTGGCATCTCTCAGTCCCACAGCCCACCAACGTAGGTCGACCAACCAATCCAAGCGCAAGTACGACAACCCGCCTGGTATCGCGCCAGCCCCTCAGAGACCGTATTACGATCCGAATCGCGAAACTGCCAAGGGCCATGCGATTCCCGCCCAGACCCGACGACCCCCCGCGCCGCGTCCGTCGACGTACGTCGCCCCATCTTCTTTGGCCCCCCATCCTGCTTCGCGAAACCACCCTTCGCCTTCATCGGGACCCCCTCATCAACACTCGCACCCCCAGAACATATATCCCCCCACAGGAGTTCCCAACTACGGGCCCCCCCGTCGTGGCCCCCCCGGACGTCCCCCGTACGAGAACGAGCATCAGCCTCGTGGGTATCCCGCTGAAACCGCCGCCCGCAACCAGCAGCAAGATTTTTCGCTGCTGTTGGCCCAAGAGAACATGACCATCCAACGTCGCGAAGTGGAAATGAAGTGGGAACTGGAGCGCCAGCAAATCCAAGACATGGAATTGCGGCGGGAAATGGAAAAGCAGCGGTTCTTTGTCGAGCTGCAGCAACACGAACGCCTCGAAAAAGAGGCCGCGGCCAACCAGCGCATTCTCGACTCGAAAGCCAAGGAAGCGGAAATGATGCTTCGTGTCAACAAGTTAAAGGCGCGACAAGAGCTTGTCAATGCAGGCGTGCCCATTGACGAAATTGACAAGGTCTTGGGGACGGACGCTTAAGTTGTACAGTACCAGTGCGGACGTGTCCAAATGATGAAATTAATTGGAGTGTGTACGATAATCCTGTGTCAGCCAGTAATAATAGTTGAGCCAATAACAAGTTCACTACTCCGTAATACTACGTAGTAGTTCAGTGTAAAGCTACACTTAATTCGATGTACTACTACTATTGTAGATACGAACCAGTCGATGCAAAGGAGGTGGACTTCACTCGCCCGAGTTAGAACACCACACAAGCGACATTCAAGATTGCGTGCAATCTGTAGCGAAAAATGTGTACTCCGACCAAAAACAAAACCCAAGGTGAGGCCAGGCAATACTCAATTCACTGAGTTAACAAGGGCAACTACGGCTTACGAGTCACTGCCAC